GAATCGCTTGAACCCGAGAGGCGGAGGTTGCAGTAAGCCAAGATCACAGCACTGCACTCCATTCTGGTGACAGAGAGAGACTCCCTAAAAAGAAAAACAAAAACAAAAACCTGAGTGTTCAGCATTTATCAGTGAATGAAAGATGAGGAACATGTGAAGCCCCCCACCCATCCTCATGTGAGCCACGCAGTGGATGGGAACAGAAGAGAAAATTTCAAAGAACGGCGGGGCCCCAATCACAGTGGATGGTAGTGATGTGCCAGTGTAGAGAAGCTCTGAAGTTCAGAATAGTATGTATTATAACTTCTGCTTGACATACAAAATGTATTTTTGAAGAAAAAGAGTGTGGATCTGGTAATTATGCAGTTAGAAAGATGTTATTTAGGCTTTGTTGCATACAGATAACACCAATTTTCATGCCCAAAATTTTTTACCTACTCATTTTTTTTCTATTCCAGGCACTCTCTTGAGTTGAATGAAGAGCAAACTGGCAGGCATGGTGGCTCATGCCTGTAATTCCAGCACTTTGGGAGGCCAAGATAGGTGGATCACCTGAGGATAGGAGCTCAAGACCAGCCTGGCCAACATGGTGAAACCCTCATCTCTACTAAAAATACAAAAATTAGCCAGGCATTTTTAGCGTGCCTGTAATTTCAGATACTCTGGAGGCTGAGGCAAGAGAATCGCTTGAACTTGGGAGGTGGAGGTCGCAGTGAGCCCAGATAGGACCAGTGCACTTCCACCAGGCAACATGGTGAGACTCCATCTAAAACAAAACAAGACTGTCCCAAAAGGGTCCCAAAGTATAGACACTTAGGTAGGAATCTTATGCAGTTCTCACCAGGACACATGACTGTTGTGAGACAGTTTGATAGCAGCTGAGATGGACTGGGAGGCATCACAAAGGCAGAGTGTTGGGTCTTCGGAGGCAGAGAGTATATGGGGGGATAAAGAAAGGATATAGATTTTTTAAAAAACACTCAGGTTTTTAAATTTTATAAAAGGTACAGACAAAATTAACGTCGTGGGACAGATTTTATGGGAAGGAGTTGACTTATGCTGAAACACGTTCTCTATGAAGTGATGTCAAAGTTAAGTTGAGATATCTGTTGAAGGCATGGGGTCATGAAGACTGCAGAAAGAGATTTGGGACCTAAGTTGAAGAATGGCCCCCAAACTGCTTGCATCCTGATTCTCTGAACCTGTGAATGTCACCTTATGTGGCAAAAGGGAAATTGCGATGTGATGAACTTAAGGATCTTGAGATAAGAAGATTATCTTGCATTATCCTAGTGTGCCTGATGAATCACAGGGGTTCTTATAAAAGGAATAAGAGAGATCAGAGGTAAGTAAGCGGTAAAATGATGGAGGCAGGAGTTGAGTGATGTGTGGAAGGGGTCATGAGCTAAGGAACATGGGCAACCTCCAGAAAAAAACAGCCCAGCTGACACCTTGACTTTGGCTCTGTGAAACTGATTTCAAGCTTCCAACCTCCTGAACTGTAAGATAATCAGTGTGTGTTGTTTTGAGCCACCAAGTTTGTGTTAATTTGTCACAGCAGCCATGGGAAATGAACCAAGGGCCTAGTGAACACTGAAAAGAGATCCTCATTTGCTGTAACTTAAACACATCCAACATTTGGAGGGCTTTTCAGTTCTGTTTCAATAGGCTGCAACAGAGTGGGGAGTGACAAAATTCCACTCAGGTCACTCAGAAATTCAGGATCATACACAGGCTCCATGAGAACACAGATGATCTGTTGCGCTATATTCCCTCTCTCTTTTTGGTGGAGAGGGAAATCCCGAATGAGCTTTGTAGACCCAGGGCCTGTTTCTGATATGTGGTAGGTAATTAAAGTACATCAGGCTGGGCATGGTTACACCTGTAACCCTAACGCTTTGGGAGGCTGAAGTGGGAATATCACTTCAGGCCAGAGTTTGAGACCAGCGGGGGCAACATAGCAAAATCCCATCTATTCAAAAAAATATATATATCTATAATTTCTCAAACTAAAGAGAAATATATATCTATAATTTCTCAAACTAAAGAGAATTTCAAAATTTTATGTTTTTTAGTTCTATGGAAATATTTTTCCCAGTATAAAATTAAATTGACTTATATTTTACATTGAACATTTTGCATTATAGGACATTTTCACAAAAATCAGACATCCAGTTCTTCAGCCAGTGTTTCTAAAGCAAATGTCCCTGTATCCTGTTTGTGGGGGGTGGATCTGTGGATATATTCTTGGAATTTTAAAGACATTTATAAATTACTGAAGTTTGAGGGACACTGAAATACACACATGTTGAAGGAGCAAAGGGATAAGGAATACATGCTTCAAGAAAACGCAATTCAGTAGTTAATTCAGTGGGAAAAAATGTAAAGCAAGTCGCTTTGTGGTGTGGAAATCAAATAACTAATTGGCGTGCTAAATTATTTTGCATTTCACACTGGAACAATCACGCAGGCATGGCCTTGCACCACTTCTTCCCTCACCGCTTGTTTTCTCTTTTACAATCCTAAGCGTACTACAACAGTGAGAACTAATAGCACCAGAATACATCTTGCACCTATTATCTGTCCTGACAGTAAAAAGTTAATGGCAGCATCCCCCTTTGGACCCCTAATAGATGGCACATCATTGTTTCAGAACACCTGAAAGAATGTCTGGGTGCACCTCCCCAAGCACCTGACAAGGGAGAGGTGGGGGCCCAAGAGTAATTGCCATGTCATTGCCATGTGATTTATTGCAATGCTTAATTATGTCTACCAGGCACCATCTGGAGACCTAATTTGTGTGCTTTATGAGCAAAAATTGCAGTCAAAATGTTCCTTCTTCTGAACATAACTGGGTCCCACTTTGGACTTCTTGCACCTTATGCTTGATCCCAACACTATGTCCTAATTATTTTAGTTTAGAGCGTCCCAGCCACACAGAGCAACTCTTATTCTAGAGGCAATGGGCTTTTCCTTCTTATACTATGTTATTTAATGGGTTAAACATGTAGGGAGTTTTGCATTATACCAAAAATTCACTCCACAGTAGAGTGAATTCACAAGGAACATATTCCTCAACTATTACTGGCCATTAACCAAAAGCAGTATTGCATTTATTGGCATCTGATTTTTTTTTCTAATTACCAATTGGTAAGTAATTGTCCCCAAACAATTTGCTTAAAAGGGTTGATGGCAAATCAGCATTACATGATGCGGATTGTTTTTTATTCAGTTTTCAAGTAAATTTTAATCTATTATAGGAATCTTTTTAAAAAATCATATTACTCTGCTTAGTTGATTTAAGAAATGCTTACTCCTTTCAATTAAAACCCAGAGCATTAATCAAATGTTTGACACTATAAATGTTTCCAATTAACATCTAGCTTAAAACCACATGTGCTCCAAGTGAGATTCAAAAGATCTATCTGTACAGGTGACCTCAGAGAAACCATTAACACATGGCTGGAGACAGCAAGAAACTTTCTCCGTTTGCAAGCCTGAGATAAAGAATTACTGTATGACTGATTAATACTTCAAACATGCTTTTCTGATGTGGGTTTCTCCAACTGGAAGTTGAGTATTTCTCACTGAGTCAAAAAGGAAAATAAAATTAGGAAAATATATATAGAGAGAGTGAAGTTTAAAACAATCCTATCTGGATGAGCAGTTAGTAGTTCCAAAACCGAACAAAGGCAATGATTGGTCACAATGTGAGCCTAATCAGTAATCTTAGATCTAAGAGAAATTTTCCAAGTTCTTTTTCACTTCCTCACTCAGAGGTTGCAAACTCAGATACCTCCAGAGTCCAAGCAGATAGCGTAAATGAATGAAATGAGAGTGTCAGGTGTACTGGAGGCCTCAGCAAACTAAAGGGAATACCTCCTGCCTAAATGGGAGAGTTCCCATCCACCAGCAACCAACTATTGTCATGTGAAAATGACATCCCTGTAGGACTAAACATTCTGCTTTCCAAGAGAAGCCAGAAAAAAATCTTTTTCATGTGAATTCATAAATTTGAAATGATGGCAATTACTCTGTGGAAAACAAAAGCAACACAGACCTCTTTGCAGCCAGCCTGTGACCTTTGTGTCTGCTGCCATGTAGAACTGGGAGCAGGGCTGACACAGTCAGAGATAGTCAAGGCCGGTATGAGGATGAAGGTGCGTGCCCTTCAGTAATATGTCAGCACATCATAAGCCTTGGAGAGTATGCTTTGGCTGGCTCACTGTTGAATCTACCAGTGCCTGGCGGAAAAAGAGAGCGCACACACTTCCCAAATAATTTCTCAATTGATCAGTCAAATGTAGTTAAATTATTCCAGGTGTGCTATGCAGGGAGTTATTATGGCCATAAGTAAAATGGTAACATTAAGACAAGCCCATTTGCCCAGTGACCTGATGAATTGCATTCTCTCTCTCCTGTCTCTCAGTGGCCTATCAACAGCTGGGGTTGTCAATCCCACAGTGAGGACTGCTAATAAACACCTAGGCCTAGTCTGTAGAAAGACATATATTTCTCTTTTTTTCCCCTTTCAAATATCTTTCCAAAAGAGAAAAAGCAGATGATCATAATAAGATAAATGGCTGGCAGTTTACACAGAGAGAAATATTTGACATTCAGAAACAATTTCAAGACCCCAAGAGCCATACATTCATGTTTGTGCAAAGATTTTTTTTTTTAATCTAAAGCAAAGCTAAGGTCTGTGTGCCTTTGGTGGAAATTGTTCAATGGCTTTGAAAGTAAGAAAGATGATCGATCATTTTGCTTTATCAAGGAGATGACTCAGGTCATAACTAGAGCCAGAAGACTTGGGATTTTGCCTTTTTTTCCTGCTTGCTAACTAGCTACGTGGTCGCTCAGTAACTTGCATTACTCTTCCCATCCTTAGTTTAAAAAAATTGATCAGATACCAAATTTTATATGTAAAATGTAACTAACAACAGCTGAGTAAATAAGATCAGACAAAATAAAGCCCATAAAGCAATTTGTAAACACTAGCTTGTTTCTTTATTTGAATTATTTTTCTGAAAATTTTTTCTGGGTTTCCTTGAGGACTCGTTTGATTGCAAATGTCAGGAAACCCAGGTAAAACTAGCTTAACAACAACAACAACAAAAAGATTATCTTTCACAACAGAAAAGTATGGGTGTAGACTTTAGGCCTGGCTTCTCCGAGGTTCATAGTAATGCCACCATGACCCAGTCTTCACTGCATCATAATGAAGCAGGAGCCGCCTCAAACACCGACCTGGGAAGGAAGAAGTGTTGTTATTATTATTATTATTACTACGGAAAATTCGTCTAAATGACCAAGATTTCCTAGCAAAGAGAAGCTCTGCTTTTATATAGCCTTACATTCTAGATATTACACATGAAAGGATCTTAGGTTTATAGCCTTAGAAATTAGGAGTGAAAGGGTCTTGGGTTTACAGTTTTAGAAATCACATATGAACGGGTCTTGGATTTACAGTTTTAGAAATTACATACGAAAGGGTCTTGGTTGATGGAGGAGTGGGGTGGGGTTTTGGTCTTGTTTAAGTAAGAACAATGTCTTCCAGAGAGATTCCCCCACACCTTCTATTTACGAGAAGGTGATTCAGGAGGCACCGCCAGTTGGCCAGCCTTTTCTTCTATTGAAATGCAGTGTGGAGGTCAAGGGGGAGGTGATCCTAGATGCCTGGGTCTCCTTCCTCAATGGCACTGTATTGGCCTCATTCTCTACAGTTGGATTCTAGGAGTTCTAGGCCCATATACTATCAGGTTCAATTCTACTTGAAAGAAACACCCTCCTTTCCTTCATGTAGGAGTCTCACATTGGGCCAGAGTAAGGTTTAATTTTAGTGATAATTTGGTCTAAATGTTCTAGCCAATTTTTGTGTCTAAGGTAGTGTGATGCTTTGAATGGTCAGGTCTCAGTCCCCATGGGAACTCAGCCACCATGTAAAACAGGGGTAAAATTAGCCCCACCTCAGTATGTGGAGTATTTTGTCAAAAATTGGGGAGAATGGATATCCATTATACTCTACAACATGACATATGCTTTGTTTTAGAGTTTTGGCCTAGAGTGATAGTTTAGACACTTTATGTCTTAAATGAAAGTTAAAGAAAAATCTGCTTTCCTAAAGAAACTGACTTTGCCTAGTATTCTTTTATTTGACTATAGGAAAATTTTAAAGACACATTTTGTACAAAATGTATTCCGCTATAACCAGTTCTTCTGAATTAATGGGAATATTTTTTTTCACAGAATAGTTTTTCTCATAACAAACATAACTTTTTTTCCTTTCTTTTAAGATATAATTTATATAACACAAAATTCACCCTGTTGGAGTGAACAGTTCAGATTTTTAAAGTATATTTACAAAGTTCTGCAATCACAATCTCTAGCTAATTCTGGGACAATTTCATTGCCCTAAAAAGAAACCCCACATCCATGTGTGGTCAGCCTCCACTTACTTCACGCCCAGATCCTGATAACCATGAAGTTACTTTTTGTCTCCATGGACTTGCCTAGGCTGGATATTTCATCTGTACCTGTATCAACCACATGGTTTACTTTCTGTATTCTGAGGCTTTAACATCTGGGGTCTTGCCGATCTGGAGGGACTGCTCCTTCTGGAGTTAGACACCCAGTTCCTACAGACAGTAAGTAATTGGCCTACTTTTCAAATGTGGATCAGCCAACCCACAGCCTATGCCCCAGCCACCTCCTCTGTGGGCCCCTTGGGATAATCATCTCAGGACTATGTACCAGGCAATTAGTGTCAGCCTTTGTACTCCAGAGCCTGATGAAATTCTTTGCAATAGCCAGTCTCAAGCCTATTTGCCTTATCTTGCCTGTTTCTTCCCATGGACACCACAATAAAGGTTCTTGTTCACATTTTCCCCTTCCTTCTGCTGCCTGAGTAACCCAGGTGCTTTCTCATGTGGCCCCCCTGTGGTGAGGCTTGCTCTCTCCTCTTGGGAACTGTGAATAACAAGCCATCTTTTCAATGGCAGTCATCTGATGCGTTGTTATTACTATATCTAAGTAATAATAAAACCTATAAAAACATTATACATATGAAGTCCTATAATATGTTTTATATCTGGTTGCTTTCAATTAACATAATGTCAAAACCTTGAAAAAGGTTTGTAAACCAAAAAGTATCTGAGACAAGTCTCAATCAATTCAGAAGTTTATTTGCCAAGGTTAAGGTCATGCCTGTGATACAGCCTCAGGAGCTCCTGACAACATGTGCCCAAGGTAATTGGTTTTATATATTTTAGGAAGATGTGGACATCAATCAGTACATTAAAGATGTACATTGGTTCCACCTGGAAAGGGGGACAATTGGAAGTGGGGACTTTAAGGTCATAGGCAGATTCAAAGATTTTCTGATTGGCAATTAGTTGAGTTACTATCTAAAGACCTGCAATCAACAGAAAGGAATGTCTCCCTAAGGTAAGGGGTTGTGGAGACCAAGGTGTTATCATGCATATGAAGGCTACAGACAACAAGCTTCAGAGAGAATAGATTGTAAATCTTATCAGACTTATAGAGTCTGTTCTATCAGTTGTTTTGTTTGTTTAGTTGGTTGGGGAGGGGACAGAATCTCAGTCTGTCGCCCAGGCTGGAGTGCAGTGGCACGATCTTGGCTTACTGCAGCCTCCCAAGTTCCAACACTTCTCCTGCCTCAGCCTCCCTAGTAACTGGGATTACACACATGTACCATCTGCCTGGCTAATTTTTGCATTTTTAGTAGAGATAGGGTTTCACCACATTGGCCAGGCTGGTCTTGAACTCCTGACCTCAAGTGATCCACCAGCCTCAGTTTCCCAAAGTGCTGGGATTACAGGTGTGAGCCACTGCACCCAGCCTGTTCTATCAGTCTTAAGGTCTCTGTTGATGTTAATGGTAATGAGGCATGTCTGACTCCCACTTCCTATCATGGCCTAAACTAGTTTTTCAGGTTAACTTTACAATGCCCTTGGACAAGAAGAGGAATCCATTAAGATGACTGGGGGGCTTAGAATTTTATTTTTGGTTTATAGGTTCATCCATGCTGTACCATATATCAGTACTTTCTTCCTTTTATGACTGAATAATATTTCACCTTATAGATATATCACATTCTGTTTCTCCATTGGCCAGTTGATGGGAAGTTGGGTTCTTTCGGTATGTCGGCTATTATGAGTAATGCTCTGAAAAAATTTACAGCATAAGTTTTTGTGCGGACATATGTTCTTTTTTTTCTTTCTTTCCTTTTTTTTCCTTTGATATGGAGTTTCACTCTTGTTGCCTAGGCTGGAGTGCAATGGCGTGATCTTGGGTCACTGAAACCTCTGCCTCCTGAGTTCAAGCAATTCTCCTGCCTCAGCCTCCCAGGTAGCTAGCATTACAGGCATGCACCACCATGCCCAGCTAATTTTGTATCTTTTTTAGTAGAGACGGGGTTTATCCATGTTGGTCAGGCTGGTCTTGAACTCCTGACCTCAGGTGATCCTCCCACCTTGGCCTCCTAGAGTGCTGGGATTACAGTGTGAGCCACTGTGCCTGGCCAGACATATGTTGTCAGTTCTTTTGGGTGTATACCCATAATTGGAATTGTGATGTCATAAGATAACTCTATAGTTAACTTTCTGAGGAACTACAAAACTTTTCCAAAGGAGCTGTACCATTTTATATTCTCATCAGTAACGTGTTAGAGTTGCAATTTCTGGTTTTGATATGCCTTTCCTTAATGAATAGCAATGTTAAGCATCTGTTCATGTGCTTATTGTCCATATATATGTATATATTGGCCATATATTTATCCATATATAATTTCTGGACTCTCAATTATATTCCATTAATCTCTAGGTCTATCCTTACACCAATACCACACACAGCCTTGATTACTTCAGCTTTGTACATCATCTTTTGATGGGGTTCAGAACATGCTATCTACTTCAAAATATGGCACTCTGGCAATTGAGAAAATAGCAGTAGTTGGAAGGTCACTCTTACCTTCCCCCACCTTTCCCCTGAAGCAGGTCATAAAAACTAGAAGGAATTTTCTGATCTTCCCCTGAAACAGGTCATAAAATCTTCCCTCTCTATACCCAGAGGAAAGGTGCTAAAAACACAAAGATGCTCAGAAGAATCTGAACAAACTGGCTTTGCTAAGCTCCCCTTGATTTATTACCATTAGGACATACTCCCTTTGTTCAATTATACTTCCCCACAACTGTTTATGCTTCATCAAACCAAGGTATAAACATACACATGTTTCCTTATTTATTTGGTCCTCATTTTCTCATGAAGACTCCCTTATCATGTAAAACCTATATTAAATAAATTTGTATGGTGTTCTCCTGTCAGTCTGTCTTTTGATGTAGAAGCCTCATCCATGAAATTAGAGATGGGTGAGCAAAGTCAATCTCTTCTCTCTTATACTTTAAATTCCACCATAATATTTTGAGGTAAGTTTTGTTGTTTTATTGTCAAGGTAAATTAATTAAATTATTTTCTGCTTTTAGCAGATGATTTCTAGCTACTGCCAGTTTCTTTCATACATCTGATGAATTTTGTGTTCATAACTGTACAGTTCTCTCATTAGGGGCTTTAAGCTACAGTTTCACAATATTGTGATTTGACTCTCCTAAATTTTAAACTCAGGTTTTTATATTTCAGTGCAGGCCTGCAAAGATGCTTCCATACTTTTAATTTCAATATTTTGCTTTTGAAAACATTTAACTTCTTCATTGCCAAATTTAATGACTAAAGTCCATATTAAGGCTGGTTTCCATTTTTACTAGGTCTTGGTTAAAATTCAGAAAGCTTATTTACTCTCTAGTGACACTATTACTGACTAGTTGAATTGTTATTCAGGAGGGAATCTGGGGCTATAATTATTCCATATGATTTTCTAAAAATCAACTTTTTGAGTTATAACTTATATCATAAAATACACCCACTTGATGTATACAATTCAGTGGTTTTTAGAGTATTTTGTATATTTACAGAGTTGTCCAACTATCAGCATAATCCAACTTTTGGACATTTAGGATTTTCATCACTCCATGAAGAAACCTTCTGACTCATAGCCACTTCTCCTTCCCTCCACCCTCCAAGCCCAGGCTACCACCAGTTCATTTTCTCTGCCTATAGATTTGTGGGGCTTCCTAGGACTGGCTGCTGGGTCAGCATAGCTTAGTGTTCAGCCACTGATTTGTCAGAGGTGGTATATAAGCCCCCTTTAATGGACTGACTGAATGTTTGTATGT